CCTGGCGGGGGCCCTGGGCCGGGCCGAGCCGGCTCCTGTCTTGGTCTGATCTTCACGGGAGGGTGTCCGTCTCCACCACGCGTGACGACAGCGCGGCCGGGTCGTGGGTGCTTTTCACCAAGTTGCGGACGTTTCCTTTTATTCTCCTTTTGCGAGTTTCTGTCAGGACCGGATGCTGGCTTTTGTCCAGCGTGTGGTTGCGTCTGTCGGGACGGTCACGCGGTGTTTCCCTTCTAGTCCCTGTGTGACGACTCGCAGACGCAGGCGGATGTTAGAACGACCTTGCTCCCGGACAGCGGGGCGCGGGCGGCGGGGGGCCGTTTGATGTGTTGTTGGCTTTGATTTGCTAAGGATTTGTTGCGAGTTTTTCCGTCTGCGATCCTGAGGGATGTCACTCCGGCTCCCTTGCCCCGTCTGTGAGGTCAGGGTCATGCGTGCTCGCCCACAGGGGCCTGGGGCGTCCTCCGGCCGGCTTCCCGGGAGTCTGCGCAGACGGTGTCGTCTCCTGCCTGAGCGTGTGGCCGCGTTTCGTGGTGGAGCCGTCGGGGAGGGGGGTTCAACTGTGGAGCGTTTAGCTACAAACCCAGTTTCTCCAGACGGGGCCGCCGGGCCTCTGCGCTGCTGCCTTGAGGAGCTTGGTGGTTCTTTTATTTCCAAGGAATCTGTCCGTTTATTCAAGTTGCTCGCAGTGTTTCTCGTCACCCCGAGGTCTGTAGACTCTGGTGCGACCTCTCTCATTCCTGATTTCGGTAACTGGTGTCTCTGTTTTTCTTTCTTGATCGTTCTGCCTGGAGGTTTGCCAGCTTTAGTTATTTATTTTATTTTATTTTTGAAAATATATTTTATTGATTTTTACAGAGAGGAAAGGAGAGGGATAGAGAGTTAGAAACATCGCCAGAATCGAACCAGGACCCTTCAGTCCACAGGCCGATGCTCTATCCACTGAGCCAAGTCGGCTGGGGCATCCTCTTTCATCATTGATGTTTTTATCTCTCTCTCCCTCTCCCTTCCTCTCTGAAATCAATAAAAATATATATTTTTAAAAAGAATAAGGATGTTCCTATCATTCTTTCCCTTCACAAGTGAGCGTTTTGAGGTTCAAAAATAATGGATTGGATCCATATTAATCCATCTGGACAACTGTACACAGCTTTTATTGTCTTGATTCAAATTCAGATTGGACTGCTTCATCTAAAGCAGCGGTTCTCAACCTGTGGGTCACGACCCCTTTGGCAGTTGAACGACCCTTTCACAGGGGTCACCTAAGACCATCCTGCATATCAGATATTTACATGACGATTCATCACAGTAGCAACGTTACAGTTATGAAGTAGCAACGAGAATAATGTTATGGTTGGGTCACAACCTGAGGAACTGTATTTAAAGGGCCAGAAGGTGGAGAACCGCTGCATTGATGTCTCTAATCTTCTATTTTAATAAATTCCTGTCTGATTTGTGTTATTTTGTTTCTTTTGCTTATTTTGGTTTTAAATTGCTCTTCTTGTAGTTTCTTTAAAAAAATTTTATTGGTTTCAGAGAGGAAGGGAGAGGGAGATAGAAACATCAATGATGAGAGAATCACGGATCGGCAGCCTCCTGCACGCCCCACACTGGGGTGCAGCCCACAGCCCAGGCCTGTGCCCTGACCGGGAATCGAACCCGGGCCCTCAGTCCACGGAGCCACACCAGCCAGGGCTGGTGGAAACCGAGGCCACGCATTTGAGACCGTTTTCTCTTCTGACATGAACGTTGGGCTGCGAACTTCCGCGCACGGTCGGCGTGGGCAGCGGCCGGGGCTCTGCTGTGTTTTCGTTTTCATTCCACTCAGATATTTATGCTCCTCCCGCTCCTGCAGGGACCCCGGGCCCCCCAGTGCAGACCATCCTGTGGATGAGAGAGAAACATCGATCAGCTGCCTCCTGCACATCTCCCACCGGGGATGTGCCCACAACCAAGGTACATGCCCTTGACCGGAATCGAACCTGGGACCCTTCAGTCCGACACTCCATCCACTGAGCCAAACCAGTTAGGGCTTTATTGATTTTTTTAAAAAAGAACTTGCTTTTGGTTCCATTGATGCAGCGGTTCTCAACCTGTGGGTCGCGACCCCTTTGGCGGTCGAACGACCCTTTCACAGGGGTCGCCTAAGACCATCCTGCATATCAGATATTTACATGACGATTCATCACAGTAGCAACATTACAGTTATGAAGTAGCAACGAAAATAATTTTATGGTTGGCTCACAACATGAGGAACT